GCAGTGGGGAAACATTGGGCCCTCTTAGTTCTCAAGGAAGGTGAATCTGGATAGCAGCTTTCCTTATGTTCTAAGTGAAAAGCTTTGGAGGAGCCAAAGCAGATCTCCAGCCTCTTTTTTAAAAAAACAAACATTTCCCACTAAGAAGAAAATGTGTGTATGTGGGGGGGTTTGATGGCTTCTCTTCTGCTGTTCAAGGAACAGTTTACAGGTCCTTGGAGTACTCACTTGCAAATGACGAGGCTTAGTGGAATACTTGTGTCATTTTCCTAGCGGCCAAATTACTCCTGATTTGGGAAATACATAATGAAATTCTACATAGAGACCTGCCTTTTTGCAGATTGTGCAAATCCTAGCAGACACACCACACAAGTACCGTAATACAAAACTGTTTATAGGAGGCCCTTTCTATCTGCAACTAGCTGCTGAGATTAAGCGTTCTTGAATATTCCCTCTATCCCTAACCAGGTGCTTTCAAGCTTTAATTTTGTTTTTTAAATTTCAGCAAAGCAGGACTTGAGGGTTGATGGCGCACCAAAGCTAGAAGTAGGAAGTGTGTCAGTTGTATGGCATGTTTTCAGTGTGAGTACCATTCCTGTCCTACATGTGGAATTGCCTGTGCTACTATCTCTCATAACTGGTCCCCTAAGGATGTCAAGAACTAAACAAGTCCGTCTTTGTAATAACTGCCAAGCCCAATCTACTTTTTAATGCATTGTATCCAGCATCCATTCTTTGACAGTGGCCCTCTGTGGCTTCTTCAATATTTTTTCCCATGCCATTTTTCTCCTAGGCCCCCTTAATTCAATACCTGGCATGATCTCAGCTAAGAGCTCCTGGTCTTTTCTTATCCAGGCGCCCAAAGCAGCCACTGAGCTGAACCTCCTGATGTGCCCTTAGACTTCCTGCAGGATTTTACTTATTCCCATTTGGCAAATGGAGAACTGTGGACAAGAAGAAAGGAGCTCTCAAGGCCCCACAAATGATTCCCATACAGTGGAAGGGTGTGAACACAGATTTTTTTTCAAATTGCCCATCTTTCTAGCACAGAACTGTATTGGCTTAATCTTTATGGCTGAAATTTTAGCACTCAAACAATCACCAAATACAATTTAATCTAATCTTTAAAATATCCTTCTGTATAAATTTTAGAATTCAAAGTACTTCATGTAGAGATTACTTAGATAATTATAACAGCCCTGCAAAGTAGGTCAGTATTGTTAAACACCCTCTCCACACACACACACATTGCAGATGGCCCCAGGGGTTGACAGGTTAACAGCTTGTCTAAAGCCACCTAATAAATCTGTAGTGAGATTTGAATTTGGCACAACTTATTTCTCACACTTCGCTGCTACACTGCACAAAATACTGTCCTGTGATAGGTTGCTGGGGTAGGCTGCAGATAATTAGTACAGTGGAAATTGCAAGATTAGATAATTAACTCATCTCAGTGGCCGCAATTATACTGGGCTTTTAAAAAAAGTAATAGCCTCTGTGAGCTTAGCAAAGAACACTGAAGCTTACATTAAAAATGAATCTTTGCCATGTAGGCTGCCATCAATGCTAGAGCTGCTCTGTCAGTACTTATGGTTCAGAGAGGGATCCCTAGCCTTTCCAGTGCTTTATTATTATGGTTCACTAGCAAGTAAAACCTGGGGCCGTGGTGGCTCAGAGGTTAAGACGCTGAGCTGGAGACCAGAAGGTCTGTAGTTCAGCAGTTCGAGACACTAGTGCTGCGTGATGGAGTGAGCTCCCATCTCTGGCCCCAGCTCCTGCCAACCTAGCAGTTCGAAAGCAAGAAATTGCAAGTAGATAAATAGGTACCACTTTGATGGGAGAGTAACAGCATTCCGTGTGCCTTGGAGTTTAGTCATGCCGGCCACATGACCATGGAAACGTTTTCGGACAGTGCTGGCTCTTCAGCTTGGAAATGGAGATGAGCACCACCCCCTAGAGTCAGATTTGACTGGCTTTCGAGCAAGGGAAACCTTTACCTTTACTTAGCAAGTAAAAGGACATTGATGGAGAAATTACGGTCTTGTTCGCCATTTCACAAATGATTTAGTTTGGTTAGCTGCATTATGAATAGGGATATGCATCTGAATCTACCCAAGCCAAAAATATACCCAAAAAATACCTTATCAGTATTTTTCAGGTATATTTCGATATCCCAAAGATATCTGGGATTTTTCAGGAAAACCAGGGGGAAAATTGCTGAAAAAAATCCCAGATATATTCAAGGTAGATCCTAAAAACAGCAGAGCGGCTGGAGCCTATTGTCTCACCTCTCAGCTGTTTGCCAGGCTTTCTACTGCAGTACTTTTAAAGTTTAAAGAGACTGCAGAAGTTTAAATGGGGCTGCAGGAGAAGCCAGCCCGAAGATCAGCTGAACCCACGGGGAGGCTGCTTCCCGCAGGTCAGCTGTTTGTTAGGCTGTCTTCTGCAGTCCCTTTAAACGCCCTCTGTTTAAAGGGAATGCAGTCGAAAGCCTGAAAAACAGTTGATGAAGCGCAATCTGCTCTGCCTGTTAGCTGTTTTTTGTGACTTTGCCACTACTCCCCCCACTACCACCCTGCTTTTTATCTTCTTGGGTCTGTTGGACCCAAAAAAATTAGGAATTTCTGGGGGGAGGGGGGAACAGATCTGAATATAATACCAGTATTGGGATCCAGGATTTTCTAGAAATCTCCAAATTTTTTGGGGTCCAGTAGACCCAAACCAAAAAATACCAGTTTTTTTTTTAAGTGTACACCCCTAATTATGATTCAGTAGAGAGATCTGGTATTTAGCACATTTCAGTTCCTGCTCATACTTTAATTCTGCAGTCTTTGTCATAGCCCACTCTGAGAGGCCCTTATGTAGAAAAACTGTGTTGCCTGGGGATTTTTTTAAAAGTCTGATAAGCTTAAAGATGGTTAGGACTGGGGTGGGGATCTCCGTGTGCAAGATGAAGAACCAGCACAGTTGGGTCATAATCTGATGCTTTATAAGCTGATTGTTTGGTTGGGGCACTTGCAGTTCTGAATGACATCTTTATTGCATGCCATTTACTCTTTTGGATGCCTCAGTTTCTCTGTTAGCAAGTGTACAAAATGGTGGATTTATAGTCTAAGCATAGCTGTGTTGGACATGTAATGGAAGTCGCTGTTCTAACTGGTAGTAGATATTTCTTTTGTTCTGCTTCTGTGCTCTTGTTACAAACAGTTCACAGAATTTTCACCTGGTTAGGATAACAAAAAAAAATAATCATGTAAACAGGTTTGCTGTCAAAACATTGTCCATTGGCTAAAAAGAGTGCCCATGCTCCCCAACCACCTGTGGAGTTCTAGGAGAAGACATAGATTTCCGGGACAGTAGGTGTGAACTCCTCGCTCTTTTTAGAAATCAAGCACTGGTGGGCCTGTGAGCGCCTCACCATGGCCAGAAATCCCTATTTGGTTTGTGACAAGAATTCTCTCTGCATCAATGTTTGAAACCCTTTGGTGGCTCAAATGTTCAGGAGGCAGAGATTCCACACGTCATCCATGTGTGTTAAATACTGTCCGGTCACTTTCAACTTATGGCAACCCTATGAATTAATAACTTCCAAAACGTCCTATCTAAATTTGTCCTATCATTAACAGCCTTGCTCAGATCTTGCAGACTGAGGTCTGTGGCTTCCTTGACTCAACCCATCTCATGTTAGATCTTCCTCTTTTCCTGCGACCTTCAACTTTTCCTAGCATTATTGTCTTTTCCAGTGACTTTTTTGTCTTCTCATAATGTGACCAAAGTACAATAGCCTCAGTTTAATCACTCCAGGTTCTAGGGATAGTTCAGGCTGGATTTGATCTAGAACCCACTTCATCTAGATACGGGTTTACTCCATGACGGATCAAAAACGGCTTCAAAACGGGTTAAAAAGGGTAATGTGAAATTCCTCATAGACTTCCAAGACAGTAGGTGTGAACTCCTAGCTCTTTTTAGAAATCAAGCACTGGCTGGGCCTGTGAGCGCCTCACCATGGCCAGAAATCCCTATTTGGTTTGTGACAAGAATTCTCTCTGCATCAATGTTTGAAACCCTTTGGTGGCTCAAATGTTCAGGAGGCAGAGATTCCACACGTCATCCATGTGTGTTAAATACTGTCCGGTCACTTTCAACTTATGGCAACCCTATGAATTAATAACCTCCAAAACGTCCTATCTAAATTTGTCCTATCATTAACAGCCTTGCTCAGATCTTGCAGACTGAGGTCTGTGGGCTTCCTTGACTCAACCCATCTCATGTTAGATCTTCCTCTTTTCCTGCGACCTTCAACTTTTCCTAGCATTATTGTCTTTTCCAGTGACTTTTTTGTCTTCTCATAATGTGACCAAAGTACAATAGCCTCAGTTTAATCACTCCAGCTTCTAGGGATAGTTCAGGCTGGATTTGATCTAGAACCCACTTCATCTAGCTGTTGGTAAATTAATCCATCATCAATTAGGATTCTTCTTGCATACCCAAAACTCCCTGAGTTTTTTTTTTTAATTTAACATTTTCAAGCACTGTAAGCCATCCATGCTATCACTCTGTCTTAAAATCATCTTGGCTGTTTGTGCAGGCTGTCTTCTCATAGGGGTGGGTCTTGGTATCTTCAGACCAAAGCCAGAACTCTGTATCCTACCCAAGGTCCTTGCCACCATTCTGATTTCTCTTCCTGTAGCCTGTCTTCTCCTGTGGCTGGGGGGTGGAGGGAGCTGGACATGAAAGGGCTTCTGTTGTTTTTTTCTAGCTTCTTCCTGGTGGGAAGAGATGGGAAGAAGAAAGCAGATGGTGCTGTTTGCAAAGTGCCTTTTTAAAAGGCTGCTCTTCAAAAGGCATCAGTTTGCGCCAGCCTCTTTTTATTCTCCTGGTTGCAGGCAGATTGTCAACCCTTCCAGTTCCTTGCTTGGACCCCCCAGGTTGCCGTGATGGTTCAAGAAACATGCGAGTTCTGTTACTGGACCCTTTCTTTTGTGTTTGTTTCCTTTTAGTCTCCTCCCCCACGGTCGGCAAGCCCTACAAATGTAACTATTGCGGCCGCAGCTACAAGCAGCAAAGCACGTTGGAAGAGCACAAAGAACGCTGTCACAACTACCTGCAGAGTCTTAACACTGAACCACAGTCGCTGGCTGGCCAGCAAGGTAAGTCCAGTGCCATACTGCAACAGACAGCAGGATTGGTGTCGGGTTTGCTGTCCCAGTCACCTACTGCAGTGCAAAATCATTATCCTGTTGGTATATGCACTTTGGAGGGCCCGGTCCCTGGCCTGTTCTTATGCTACATTCACTGCAGAGAGCTGCCCTGTTTGAAGAACAGGCCACTTGTTGGTAATGGGGACCAGAATCCCATCCCTGGCCAGGCAAAAAGAACTGGGATCTGGCGGTTAGAAAATGGGAGGCTGGTAATCAAGAGAGCACAAGCTTGGAGAAGACATTCTAAATTGTTAATTCCATGACCACAGAGCAGTGGTTCTCAACCTTTTGTGCATTACGTTCCACCACTCGCTCAAAAAACCTGGGTCCTGCCATGATTGAAACAAAAAGCCTACTTTTCCCAAGAAGGACATTTATATGTTTACAGGCCTTCTATTAAATGTATCACATGGTATTTTAAGGGCACAAAAATTGTAGAAGCACAATGGTTAACCTCTGGCAGGTAGAGTCAACAGGAAGTAGCACATCAAAGACACTTGCTGGTGGGCAGCGGGACCGGGGAATGAGGAGGAGCACTCAGTTCCTTCAGGGTTACTACTAACGTGCCAAAAGGTCACAGGTGGATAATCTGTGGCAAGTAGGGTCGGCAGAAGATGGCATTGTAACACTTGCAGGTGGACATGGGGATTAACGGGAGGGTGAATTCTTAGTAATTGCTATGAAAACACGTCTTACCGCCTAGACTGCTCTGTGTCCCACCAGTGGCGCACATACCACTGGTTGAGAACCACTGTGCTAGAGGAATGGGTTGGACCAAAATTAGAATGAGGAGCCCATTCCCTCCTCACCAGTTTTGCTGTGTGGGTCCCATCCCCCCTCTCCCAGCAAGTTCCTTATCAGCATCCTACATCATTAATAGCCATAGGTCTTTGCTAAGGAAGAGATGGGATGAAAATAGCCAAAAACAAGCACCAGTTTCGTTTTCTTGCTAGGTGACGAGATGCGAGACTTGGAGATGGTGCCAGACTCCATGCTTCACTCCTCAGCCGACCGGCCTGCCTTCATTGACCGACTGGCAAATAGCATCACCAAACGAAAACGCTCCACACCTCAGAAATTCGTGGGTAAGGCGTTTCGTCTGGATTCCCAGAGTCGGTGACAGAACAGTGAGGCAGCTGTTTCCATTTGTGAAGTGTTAGGCCTTCTGGAGTGTCCCTCTCCAGGTTTTTGGCCTCTGTGTTCTTTTAACACCTCTCTCTGTTGGAACACAAGGAAGTAGTCCAATGAGTATCACGGCCAACAGTGTGACGACCTCAAGCGTACTACTTGACAGCCATTTTGTTTCTTTAAAACTCCTGCTGTTAAAGAGATTTGACCATGTTTGGACCAGAAGAAAACAATACTAGATGTAACAAAGTTTGAGTCCAGTGGCACCTTTAAGACCAGCAAAGTTTGATTCTGGGTATAAGCTTTAAGCTTATATTCAGAGTTAAACCTCGTTGGTCTTAAAGGTGCCACTGGACTCAAGCTTTGTTCTTTTGCTTCAGACCAACACGGCTACCCACCCGAATACTAGAATGTGACAGAGATATTAGAAATCAATACAGAAATGTTTACAAAACAGAGTCACCAAAAAAACCCTCAAGTCAATTAAAGTAAATGTGAAACCATTGTCCAGTGTGTGTCATTATAATACATTACTCCATTTTTGGAGAGTTTACCTGCAGCTGAGAAGAATAAACTATTCCCTACCCTACATCAATGCTCTTTATATGTAATCCTGTACAGACATGAAGGTTTGAGTTATGTCAGCTAATGATCACATCATCCAAGGGTTTTCTTCACAGGATTCCTGTCCAAGTATTGTACTCCACATGCCTTGTTTCTCTTGCGTTCAGACTTTAGATCTAAATTTTCATTTTGATATCCTTCACCCTAGGAGAGAAGCAGATGCGGTTTGGCCTCTCCGAAGTGGCGTTTGACGTCAACTCCAGCTTTGAAAAGGACGTGGAGATGGTGGCTGCCCACCACCCCATGGACCCCAGCTTTGGAGGCTCGCTGTCATTTGTGGGGGCAGAACACTTGCGCCCCCTCAGACTCCCACCCACAAACTGCATCTCTGAGATCACGCCTGTTATCAGTTCTGTCTACACTCAAATCCAACCCCTGCCAGGCCGGCTGGAAATAGCAGGAAGCCGAGAAACTGCCGAAGGCCATGAGGACCTCCCCGATGGGACGCAGATCGTGTACCGGGCATCGCGGGAGCCAAGCATGGTATCGCCTAGCAATGGCTGCCAGGATTCCACAGACACTGAGAGCATCCACGAGGAGAGGAGCTCACAGCAGCCGCTGCTGCCGGGCATTGGGAACTGCACCAGCAGCCGGCAGAGTCCGGCCTACGCCAAAGAGGACCTGAAACTACAGGAGGGCATCATCCCCACCACTACTCGGTCGACTCCCAGCTCAGCCAAAGAAGCCCTGCGTGTGGTGAATGATGAAGGGGAACAGGTAAAAGCCTTCAAATGCGAGCACTGCCGGATCTTATTCCTGGACCACGTCATGTTCACCATCCACATGGGCTGTCATGGCTTCAGAGACCCTTTTGAATGCAACATCTGTGGCTATCACAGCCAAGACCGGTACGAGTTCTCCTCCCACATAGTGCGAGGGGAGCATAAAGTAGGCTAACCCCAAATTCTCTTCCCTTTTGTCTCCCCCCCTTCCCTAGAAATCTCCTTCCTTGTCTCTTGTGCTCCATCCTAGTTGGGTATGGAACTGTTTGTTTCTTTTATAACTCCTTTGCACTGACTTTGGCTAAAAAAGAGAAATATTAAAAAAAAAACTAACTAAAAATCCATCAAACTTGAGACGGGGAGGAGCTCATATTGATTTGCCTTTTTCTATGCTGTGTTATTTAAATATTGTTAACTGATTCTAAGAGTTGTTCTTTTTAATTCTCTCCTCCGTGTAGTTATTTATTAATCTTTGTTTTGTTTGTAACCCTTTCCCCTTAAAGTCGTTCTGCCAGGGACTTTCTCCACTGAGGGACGCGCAAGCCTCTGCTAAGTCTTTTGTGTCTTTTGAGGTCTAGAAGTCCCTTCTTCCTCCTCCGTTTAAAGTTTGTTTGGGCTTCTTTTGGTTTCAGTTCAGGTGTCTCAGTCAATCCACCATATTAAGACATCAAGAACCTCAGATCAGGTGCTAGAACATTGTAGAACTTCCCTCCACCGTTTGAGGGGCTAGGAAAGCCGCAACTTGTGCGAGCCCAAGGCGATGTCAGGGCGAACCACGTATGCCCTCTTTTCTGGGTGTTTGTGCGTCCTGCTATAGGAATTCTGTGATCCCAAGAACTCAATACCTCTGTGCTTCTGCTTACGACAGCTTGTAACTGAAATGTGCTATATCTTCCTCTGTTGGGGCATCGAAGGTGTATGGCAGATTTGCGACCGGTGAAGATGAAGGAGCTGCGGTGCCACCTAAGTTGAAGGAAGGTGGTAAGCATTTTGTATGTGAAACCTGCCAGGGTGCTGCCTTTACAGACTCAACCAAGAGCTCGTGTTCGGAAAGCAAATGCTGTTCCCAGGATGCAATGAAGGAGCTTTAGCATCTTCTCGGTGAGGCTGTGTCCTGCTTCCCAGCTGTGAGGAATCTGGGGAGCTGCCCTTCTCTCCAGTAGTGTCGTTGGGAGCTAACCTTCTCTGAGCTTCCTGCTGTTGACTCTGACAGAGCCATTCTTGCTGGGGTTCTTAGAAGGTTGCCAGTCTCACCCGTTTGGGCAGCTTTCCGACGACTGCTTTCCAAAAGTATGCAACTTCCTTTAGGATGGATAGACAAGTGTGACCCTGTTGTCCAGGATGTAATCCCAAAGAGACATCTCTGAGGAATCTTCAGTCGGAGGGAGGAAAGATGCTAGCTACGGTCTCCATGGGATTAACCCAACAGCCTCTCCAGTAGCAAGTAGAACTAGGACAGTCCTCCAGAGGTGGGAGTATGAGCCTTGCTTCTTCCTCTTCTTATATGTGTGCCTGGTTATTTTGCCTCGGTAGTCAGTTTCCCCAGAATTGTTTGCCACTGAGCGGCTTGGGCTTTGACTACACAGCTCCCCCACCCCACCCCAGTGAGTGTGACTGCCTCTGTTTGCTTTGACTCCTCAGGTAGTCTGTGAGCCTGATCAATCTGCAGTCAGAAAGCAAATTTTATTTTTTTTACCCCTTAGTGAGATCACAGCCAGAAGGCCTGCATCTGTGGCACAGCAGACTGGTCATCTGCAACCAGGAGAGTGTATGCTTTGCAGTGTCTCCGAACGTCTTTTAAGAAGAATCTCTCCACCCTAAATTAGAGAGGGGGATCTCTTTTTAGGCCACTTTGCTTCAGCAGCCTAGAAAGAGTGGCAGAGAACAGCTGTCCCAGTTTCCTTATAGGACGTATTACGGGGATGGCAGCCGGCTGGCCGCGATGCAGATTCAGTAGGGAACTCTTGCCCTGCTCTGTGTATTCAGTGTCTCAAAGCCGCAGTAAAGGGCTGAAACTTCCATTCCGTGGCTTGGTTGAAGATGGCTCGCCTTAGTGGGCCGCAAAGAAAGTTGGTAACGTCACTTGTCAGGGTTATGCGGTCATTCCTACCAGCCAAGGCACACCAACTGCATATTTCCAAAAGCTGCGTTCTCCTCCACCCCCAAGAGTGCAATTTAAAAAACAACAACACAGAAATCCTGCTGGTACTTTCTCTTAAGAGTGTAGCATTTGCCAAATACCGTGAAGGCAAAATAACTTGGGAGTTTTGCCTTTCTCCAAGGACTGGTCGATCGTCTCAGGGCCTGACCTGCAGGGGAGCACCTTGCTTCACTCTGAAAAAGCAGGAGAGAAGTCTATAGCTGCCTCTCTGGTCTTAGTTGGGCAGAGACCAAGACAAGGAGGAGAAGGCTCTTGGTTTTTACGCAGCTGCCCGTAATGCATAAAAATAACTTGCTCAACAGCAGCCCAGTAAACTGTTTCCTTGTGGGATAAACCAAAGGCTGTTCTTTTCTCTACAAAAGAAAGAAAGAAAACCTCAAGTTTGTTTGTTCCCCTGTATTGTTTTGAGACATGGAACAGCGATGTCTTGGAGCTGTTCTTTTAAGGCCGTGGAAAGGTGCTTAGGTGGAAAGGTCAGGTGGGGCATTTGGGGGAATTATTCAAGGCGCTGAAAGGGGTGCCTTTCTTTAAATAGTTGTCCTCTGCTCCCAGACTTTGGAGGAAGGAGCTCTCAGCCATTCTGGTACAAAGCTGCCTCCCCCAGCTCCCTCTTTCGTGGGTTTAGCATATGCATGGGATCCTTATAGGCTCTGAAGGCCTTTTGAATTGGCCCCAGCAATGTGTAGTGTAGCTTCAGCGGATGATAGGAGAACGGGATGTTACAATCCCTGTCATTCTGATTACCATTGTGCAATACAAATGAAATATGCTGGGAGACTTTGCCAAATTGCTAAGGGGGCATACACATCCAATTCTGGTCTTTCAGTGACGGCTACACTTCTAAATCCCTGAAGTTCTCCAGGCCCAAAGGATTTTTTTTTAAAAAAGCACTTGCCTTTCCTGTTGACTTCCCTATAAAATATTCAGCACTTCTTATGACTGTTGCATCTAAAGAGTCTGCTCACATGACCTCTCCCCCCCCCCAACAATTCCCATGATTTAGATGCTCATTAAAATGTGCCATGCAAATTATTTGGCAAAAGGAATTGGCCACTGGCAGCTGAAAGAATGACGGATCGGTTCTGGGAATTGTTTGGGGAGAGAGGGAGGGGGCTCTCCTGTTGACTTGCAAACAAGATCATGTGAACAAGCCCTTAGACTTCGTACGCCTGAATGGTTTTTTGACTTCAGGCTGTTCTGAAGGGTTTGGATTTGTCGACTGGAGATCATGCAACTTGATGGCTTAAGTCAGATTCACACAGGTAGTGAGAGAATTGTTGTAGTGAATGAACTAGAGATGTTGTTCAAGGTGTTCGATTTGTGTCCCCAGAAATCTGAAAGAGCCAACCTTATAAGTTGCTTCCCGTGTTGCTCTAAAAGACATGGGTGGGCTCTCAGGAGGACTTCTCAAAAGACCTGTAAGAACATCAGCACTCTAATGCTTACTTACTATTATGATTACTTGTAATAACCTCAAAGCTGATTTCCAACATGCTGCTTACCAAATAATGTCTTTGGCCCATCCTATGAGTAACCATAATTTTTTTTAAATGCAACCTCAGAGTATAGCTTTTCTGGGGACAGCTCTACAGCTCTACAATTTTAAGTTGCAGTTGGATCCTGTTTGTAGAGTCACCCCTAGAAAAGTTGCAGGGTTAGCACCAGCACTGTGATATGAATGCCCACAGAGACCAAATGTCACAGTGGATCTGGATCTCTGAGAGAAGATACATATCTTCATATTCAAACAAGCAGGCCTATGGTTTATGAAAGTATGGAAACAATCCGCAGACAGGCCATTGTATAAATGTCTTTTCCCCAGTGTGACTCTATGCCTAGATAGAAAACACAGACACTCTCAGTATGTAACACAAGCAAATCTTCTCCCTGTCGAACCTCACCAATGGCATTTTTCTTTAGGCTCATGAGGCTGCCTGGACTCCTGGTCATGTCACTTATGCTATGGCTGTGAGATCCTTGACCCAGTATATTTTGAGTAAAACCATGTACTTTAATGGGCAAGAGGACATTCTTTTTCTGTAATACCAAAGCAAAAGAAAAAGTGGTGTTCATGAAATCTTCCAGCCAAACCCAAGAACTGTCCAGTCTTGCAAGGAAGAGTTGCAATTTCCTGTCTAGGCAGAGAAATAAATAATTAACTCTGCAGTCCTAAGCAAAGTTTATACCCTTCTGAGACCACTGATTTCAATAGATTAGAAGGGTGTAACTCTGCTTAGTAATGCAGTGTAAATCTATGTAGGCAGTCTTCTCAGTGGAACTGGAAATAAAGCATAGAGCAACAATTGTATCTGCTTTCTTTCCACTTCATACATCAGTGGCTAAAGTAAGATATGGACTCTTAATGGTAACAACAACAAAAAGGGTTTAGCTTGAAAACTTGAGCTTGCTTGAGAGATACCAAGAACATGGAGTGAATTTCACTTACATCTGTCATTTTGACTTCCAAATTTCTAGAAATGAACTTCAGTTCCCTTCTCTTTTCCATACAAGAGTTTTTTCCTGGGTCCTGTAGGCAAAGTTCTGTCACCTCTTCAATGCAGAGACTAATACTGTTGTCAAAAACTGTGTAAAATGTAAAGCAGTTGTCCTGATGCATTTCTGAAGAAACAGAGGCTATGTATCAGCTTTCCTTAGATGTAATGTTGCGAAGAGAATGTACCTGCAGTCGTTGTTACATTTTTTTTACACAGTTTTTTTTCCTGACAATAGTATAAATCTGCCACAAGAAAATCAGCTTTCACAGTTGGATACTGACTTCCTGAAAGCCAAAGATGGTGCTTGGGTGCTTAGCTTCAGTTGAGAGCCACGCTTGAGAAACGAAGCACCTACAGTGTCATTTTTACAGCCGGTTTTTAAATGAGAAAGGAAAAAAAGTTACCCCTTTGTGCCTCCATAACAAAACCCACATTCAGAATTTTGCTGCTTCCTGTTTTTAGTGGGAATAGAAATGCTCTCTGTAGGAATTCTTTGGGGGGGGTTGTTTTGGTTTTTTAAAATCGGAAATATTGGGCAGTTCTGGAGCTGAATGTCGGCATCCAGAAC